TCTCTCTCTCTCTCTCTCTCTCTCTCTCTCTCTCTTTTTCTCTCTCCCTTTTCTAAGTTAGCCCTGGACTATCATGATGGTTCAGAGGTAAAGGTGTTTGTCTTGCTGGGTGGTGGCGGCACACACCTTTAGTCCAGCACTCAGGAGGCAGAGGAAGGCAGATCTTTGTGAGTTCGAGGCCAGCCTGGTCTACAGATCGAGTTCCAGGACAGGTTCCAAAGCTACAGAGAAAAAAAAACTGTCTCGAAAAACCAAAACACAACAACAACAAAAAAAGTGTTTTGTCTTGTAAGCCTGGTTGTGTGAATTCGATGTCCAGAATCCATATAAAGGTAAGAGAGAAACGACTCCACAAACTTGTCCTTTGAACCCCCACCCCATACCCCACCTCAGCCAAACATGCACAATCCCCCCTTAACAATAAAAATAAAAAGCTAAGTCCAAGCCAGGCAGTGGTGTCGCATGCCTTTTATCCCAGCACTCGGGAGGCAGAGGCAGGCAGATCTCTGTGAGTTTGAGACAGCCTGGTCTATACAAGAGCTAGTTCCAGGACAGCCTCAAAGTCATAGAGAAACCCTGTCTCAAAAAAAAAAAAAAAAAAAAAGCTAAGAGCTAAGTCCAGCAAGATGGATCAGTGGATAAAGACACTTGACACTACGCCTGATAAGCAGAGTTCTATACCTAGGAGAGGTATCTACCATGGTGGAAGGAGAGAACAGATTCTCAAAAATTGTTCTCTGACCTCCACAAGTGCACTATAGCACACACATCCAATCCCTCTCCCCAAATAAATAAACAAACGTAATAATGAAAAAAATTTCAAGTTAGATCACTTCATGTTCTCATCAGTTTCCCTTTTATCTGTGTATTCAATCAAATAGGCAAGTGGAGGCCAAAGAAGAAGCACAGTTCATCCCTGGGGGCTCAAGCTACAGTAAACTTACCCAGTGTGGCCTGACTAGTTTTCTTATGAATGAGATAATCAGAAACTTGTTTAGCTTGAAACAGTGCAAATAACTTGTAACAAAGGCAGGAGGAAGAGAGTTGATGAATCTTTGTTCTGGAATGGGCATGGTATCATAATGTTATAGCAAATATTTTCAAAAAATAAAATTTTATATGACATGAAATTATTACCCAAATTTAATGTGTTGGTTTTTTGTTTGTTTGTTTTTGTTTTTCAAGACAGACTTTCTCTGTAGCTTTGGAGGCTGTCCTGGACTCCGTGCTATAGACTAGGCTGGCCTAGAACTCACAGAGCTCTGCCTGTCTCTGCCTCCCACCCAGCAAATTTAATGTTTTGATGAAACAAATTATAAGTTTTCCAAATACTTAAGTCAGACAATTCCTAAAAATCAAAAAAAAAAAAATTGCTGGGCAGTGGTGACACATGCCTTTAATCCCAGAATTTAGGAGGCAGAAGCAGGTGGATCTCTGAGTTCAAGGCCAGCCTGGACTACATAGTGACTTCCAGGACATCCAGGGCTACACAGAGAAACCCTGTCAAAAAAAAAAAAAAGCAAAATGTGTATCATGTCACAGCTTATCTTGTTCCTGAAGCAGGAACAACAGTAGCTGTAAGGGAATATCATGTTAATTCTCTAAAACTGTTTGACACAAAGAATGAATTATTACAAATAATTGCTAGTGGCCAATGAAAATGCCTGTCAAAAGAAATCTAAGAGAGAAACTTTGCAGTGACTTTCCAGCACTGGGGATCAGACAGCCTCAGCAGAGGATCTAACTCTCCTTTCTAGATAGAAGTATGGTTTCACTGAGGGATAAATTTCCCTGAAAGTGTGGTTCTGTGTACTTTCTTATAGAACTTAGGTGCTCAGGTATTTGAGACATAAACATGGAATTAGAAACATGCACAAACGTGGTGTGTAGCATAGTTGGACAGTTGATGGGGGAGGAAGAGATTCATTCAGTAGTGTAGCTACCAGCAAACAAACCACCACCCATAACTAGTGGTGCCCACCAGCTCTCCGAAGGCTAACACAATGCACAGCGGCCACCAGGGAATAGCTCCCGGTCAGGTTGTGCAGGCTGGCTCTCCCCTTCTGTGATCTCTGTTGGTTCTGCAATAGTCAGTCACAGGATGCCATGGGCCTAATGGACACCTTTCTTCAAGTTTTGCCTGAATGAAGCATGACTGCTTTATAATGCTTTGATCCTTCAAGTACCATAACTTTACTTCACAGGCCAGTTACCATTTATCTGCCACTGCCCTGTACATCTGTCGTTAAGTTTATATCTCAGACCAGGAAAATGATGGTGGGGTTAGTTCACAGGACCACTTGGGCCATTTGCCCTCAGGTCTCGATGTTTCCCATTTTATTATGAAAGTTATAATTGACTTTTTTTTTTAATCACCATGGCACCAGAGGGAGATCATTATCTAAATCCAACTGTACTCAGTAGACCTAGGATTAGTCCTTTCTCCAGTGGATAGTCCCATAGGTCCCACTAGGCAAAGACGAGGCAATAAATGTTTTCTGTACTTGTAAAAGTCCATTCTCTAGAACATCCAAATAATGGGCTCTTTGGGTAAGACCTGTGTGTAATCCATATCAAAGTTGTCCAGGGGATCATGATTTTCTGCTTGACGGCCGACATGAGTATTCTGCACCCCTGTTCTTTGTAGCTTCTGGCTATAGATCATAAATGTCATTATCATCATCACCTGTGTAGAAACACTGCTAGGAACAGCAAGGCCTCCAAGTTGCAAAGACAACCTTGTTTTTGGTTTCAGCAACTGCATGTCTCTTGCTTCTGACAGTGAAATGTTATCTCTAGGCTCTTGTTAGAACTCCATCATCTCACTGGTACACAGGAAGCCCAGTTTCTTAATAGCTCTCTTGCCTTCACCTGAAGACACATTAGACAACAGAGCCCGTTCAAGGATGCCCCCACTCACCCTGAGAGTATATTCTGTGCTGTTTCTGTGATAGGTGTGGCTCTGATCCGTCTGGGAATGTGATGGGCTAGAGAGGCTTTGCTGAAATGCCTGACCCTCTCTCTGCTTTAGCCACAGCATCTCCACATCGTTCACTATGGCAACTCATGTCTCCTCTCCAAAGAGCCCCGTCTTAGTTAGGGTTTCTATTGCTGTAAAGAGACACCATGACCATGGCAAGTCTTATAAATGAAAACTTTAATTGAGGTGACAACTTAAAGTTTCAGAGGTTTAGTTCATTGTCATCATAGTGGGGAGCGTGGAGGCTGGGGCTGGGAGTATGGTGAGATGCTGGCAGACATGGTACTGGAGAATTCTATATCTTGACCCAAAGGCAACAGGAAGTGGACTGCACATTCAGTATTCTGTTAACTCCTTACATCTTCAAATCAAGGCCTGGAATCCCAAACAATCAACTGTTTGTTTGCTTGCTTGCTTTTGTTTTTTGAGACAGGGTTTCTCTGTGTAGCTCTGGCTGTCCTGGAACTCATTGTGTAGCCCATAATGGCCTCAAACTCACAGAGATCTACCTGCTCTGCCTCCAGAGTGCTGGGATTAAAGGCGTGGACCACCACCTCCTAGTATATAATTAACTTCTTATAAATATCAGTTTTCAATGAAGGGATAGAATTTTTCACAGAGAAAAAAGGTAAAATTAATGAGTCATTGGTAAAGTGTTTGTCTAGCATTTGTGAGAACTTGGTTTCAAACTACAACTCAAAAAAGAAGAAATAAAAGGTAAAATTAAAATTCAATAGATGAATATATCTCAAATGAGGATATGGAAGAAGAGTCATGCTTTCCTCTATATTATCAACCCATTGGTCCCCTTTGTATCTAGGCAGAATCACATTGAAGGCCATCACACAAGTCATTATCCACTGCCACCAGCAGTGAGTCATGTGTGACTCCTGCCCTGGGGTGTTTATAGAGTCGCTGTGTCTCTCTATCGCTTTCTGTCCCATTAGGGGAGCTCTTTGGCCCCAGTGGACTTGTGGGTTGGTGGGAAGTAGATGTTGTCTGTTGTTTCACTAGAGAATTATTTACTCCATCTGATTAGGAATAGCCCCCATGGACACAGAAAATATCAACACAGGATAATGGATGTTGGTCTCTAACTTAGGCAGTAATTCAGTAAGGTCGACATGGCCCCCATGTGGAGAAGACTGAAAGAGAAACATCAAATTCCTTCTTGTCTGGCTCTAATAATTATGCCTTAGATACGCTATAAACTTGTTATTTTGTGAGTTTGTATTATTTTTATAATCCAGTCGGCATAGTTTTTTCTTTTCCTTTGTGTGTGTGTTCATATGTACCTGTGTGTAATGTGTGCATGTACACGAGGAGGCCAGAGGTCAATATGGAGTATCTTCTTTAGTCCTTCCCTGCCTTACCTTCGACACGGGATCTCACTGAACTTGGAGCTCACCAATCTGATCCAGTTAGACTGGTTTTCTGACAGACCAGGGACCTTCCTCTTTGCTACCTCCTCAGTGTTGGAATGGGCATGTTCTTTTCCCTCACATGGGTGTTGATGATTGAACGAAGGTCTTTATGCTTACACAATACTGAGCCATTGTTCTTTTTTCTTTTCCTTAATTATGACCCTAGAAACTCTCAGCAGCATCTTCGCATTCCACATAAGCAGAATATATTTTTGAAACACAGTTCTTTCAAAACCATGGTGAAGAGCTGATGGCTCAGAGGTTAAGAGCACTGGCTGTTCTTCCAGAGGACCTGAGCTCAATTCCCAGCAACCACATGGTGGCTCACAACCATCTGTAATGAGATAGGATGCCCTCTTCTGGTATAAAGGCATACATGCAGAGCACTCAGACATAAAACAAAAACAAAAACAAAAACAAAACAAAAAAAAAAAACATGGTGAAGACAGCCAAAAGGTAAATTTGAACACAAAACTTATGAAAGGGACATATAAATTTTGAAAGCACTTGCTAGAAAGATGTAGAAGGTGGCTCATGCCTGTAATCTCAGCAGTTGGGAGGGGAAGGTAATGAGGATCAGGAACTCAAGGTTACCCTTGGCTACTTAGCAAGTTCAAGTCCAGCCTGAGCTACATGAAACCCTGTTTCAAAAAAACAAAACAAAAAAACAAACAAAAAAGAGATTGATTGACTTTGAGATCATTTATCATGTCTGAGCACGCCTGTGTGTATACGTGAGTAGGGAGGCCAGAGAACAACCTCAGGCTGTTGTTACTCAGGTACTGTCTATCTTGACTGCATGCAAATCACCCTGCAAAACCTCACAGCTCTAAAGGAACCATTTAGCTCAGGTTTTGTGGATTGGTGTTTTGGCTCTGGCTCAGCTGACTCTGATTTCTGCTTAGTGCTTGTATCAACCACCAGGTTACAGGTCACTCAGATGCCTGGATTGTGATCCTTGTGTGTCTGGAGGATAGTGATGAGAAATAAGGCCACAAATTTTTTGTCTTCCGACTAGCCCAGGATTCTCTACTTGCCTGTGCACAGTCCCCTCTTGAGGCATAGGCTTTGCTGGTTGTTGCTTTGTATTAGCCAAAGAATAGTCACAGTGGCAGACATGAGTCATGACACAGATAGGCTGGGGTGCAATGCAGTGGAGTCCTTAGCATGCTTAAGGCTTAGGGTTCAATCACTAGCTCCAGAGAGTGTGCAGGGATGGGGAGGGGCCGGTGTAATCTGGGTGGGAGGAGCTACAGGGTCTCGTTATAAAGAGGTGTCCTCCTTCTAAACCCAGGGTTATTTTATGCCCTCTCTTGTAATCCCAGCACTGGAGATTCCTGATGCTGGTTGGACAGCTAGCCTAGCCTAACCATTGAGCTCCAGACTAATAAGAGACTGTCTCAAAATCAGGTACTGTACCTGAGTAACAACAGCCTGAGGTTGTCCTCTGGCTTCCATACTCAGGTACACACACATGTGTGCTCAGACATGAATGCACACAAAATAAGAGGTATGCTCACAAAGAGGCATGGATGCTTGCAACCATTTTTACAACCTTTTCCAAGTCTAACTTTTCTTCTTTCACTTGGAAAAACTTCAATTTGTATGTTTTGCCTGTGACCAACCCTTTGCTAATTTTCACATCTGCCCATCAAATCACAGAGGATTAACTCCCTTTATGAAGCTCTTTGGTAACTGTCCACAGTCACTTCAGAAAGCACCCAGAGAGGGTCCTCTTTAACATGACAGGCCTTCATCTAGATAAATAACAAGGTGGCTTAGTGGAGAAGGGTGCTTGCTGTACAGGCCTGACAACCCAAGCTCAGTCCCTGGAACTCACAGTGCAAGGAGAGGACTGGCTCCCAAATCCTGCCCTCTGACCTCCACACATGTGCTGGGACTGCCCTCCCTCGTACAAATGTCATATGTACACACATTTAATAATTTGAAGATATTTATTGAAAGAAATGTAGATCTTTCAAGAAAAAAGGCAAGAGGCAGATGTATGGAATTGTACATTGAAACATTTTAAAAATACTTTATCACATTCTACTGAGTCTATTTAATTCTGTAGTTCTTTTTTTTTTTTTTCTCCTCATGAGATGGTAAAAGAATAAACTACAATCAAACCATCCCAATTTATGAATATGGATCTCCGGTTGTTATTTCATCTTAATTTCTGCTGGGTGTCCTCAAGAAAAATAATTTCCCCTACTTTTGTCAATATTGTGGAAATACAGTTTTGCCTTGTCTTCTGAGACAGAGTCTGAGGATATAGAGGTTGGTCTCAAACTCCTCCCTCTGCTTCAGTCCCCCAAGTGCAGGATAAGCATGTTTCAGATTTATCTATTTATTGTATGCATGTGGGAGTGCACAGGCCATGGCATGTGTGTAGAGATCAGAGGATAATGGGTGCCTTCATTCCCTCCTATCGAGTGCATCGCAGGGATTGAACTCAGGTCCTTAGGCTTGGCAGCAAGTGCCTTTACCTGCTGAGCCTTCTCTCAGGCTCCCAGCTTAAAACAAGACATTTTCTCCACCCAGAAACCTTTACAAAGGTAAATCAGAAAGAAAACGGCTTTGGTGAGCCTTAACCCAGAACACGACGCTGAGACCAGGAAGACGCAGACAGATCTCACACTTCTATGTTGCCACGAAAGTACAACTTATTTATTACAAGGATGTTCTTTGGAGCCCTGGTAATTAGCCTTTAATTAGCCCTCCAGTAAGAGAATTTGACAACACTATTTGTTTATCTTAAATTCACCTGATAATTAGGTCACCATCTGCATCAGTTAATTGGTTTTATACACTGAAAAAATAAGTTTTCTTTATGAAAGAAGTAGTTTGCAATGGTTTTCATGAAGTCAGGCTCCTAACCATCCACAGAGACTGGGAGACAGGGCCCTGTTATAGCTAATCAGATTATGTACTCTCCGTATATATGTAATAAAACATTTTATAATATAATGATATATTTCATATTAAGAAGACATTTAATAGAAAAGAATAAATTCATATCTAAGTATGTAATAGGGTTATATATACTGTATAATAAGATTTCAAGTCAATCTGAATGACATCTTCAGAGAAGTATCTAGGCAGTTAGGATTCAAGTGGAGAGAACATTTAAAGGAACACACACACACACACACACACACACACACACACACACATACATACACACACACACACACACACATTTTGTGACATTCTGAAGACAATGTTTGAAGAAAAGGAGGGGAACCTTTCCCTTGTTCTTCAGGGGAGAACTGAGCTCCATTTCACTCTATCCTTGCCCTTACCTTGAGCACAGCTCCTCTGGGTCAGCCATGGCCTTATTTAGCATGCTTCTGTTCTCTACTAATGCAGTCCCTCGGCCATCAGGTCATAATTAAATCTCGTGCACCAGAAACGGGTCTGGACTATGTTGATTCATCAGTGAGTCAGAGGCAGACTCCTTTCATTACGGAAATTGTACTGCATGAAAGGAAACACAATAAACAGATAAATAAATGTACTTAATAATTTATTTACAGTCTAGTCACAGGTGCTACTAAGTATAATGACAAATAAAACAGCATGAAGGCCGGAGTTAGATGGGGGTACTGTAGGAAGGACAGTGGTGTTTGAATTGGGAAGGATTTCAAGGAAGACAAGAGAGTCAGTGTCACAAGCAAAGAAAATGAGATTTTTGGCCTGGAGGAAGGGAACAGATGCGAGTGGCATTTGGCTGTGAGGAAGAACATGGAAAAATGATCAGAGACCAGAGAGAATTCTTCTTTAAAACATGTAAAGTTTGAGCTTTCTCTTTTAAAAAATGTATCTTATTACTATTTTTATTTAAATGCCTTATGTGTATGTTTCTGTGTGCAGGTGCCCACGTTGGCCAGAAGAGGGTATTGGTTCCATTGGAGCTGGAGTTAGGCAGCTATGAGGTGCCTGATGTAGGTGCTAGGAACTGAACTTGGGTTCTTTGGTGGAGTGGTAAGTACTCCTAACTGCAGAACCATCTCTGCAGCTCCTGAGATGCTCAAAAAACAGAAAACAAACAAACCAAAACCAACCCTTTTCATATTTTATGTGTATGAATGTTTTACTTGCACGAATGTCTGTTTTCCTTGCATGTATGTCTATGTACGACCTGTGTGCCTGCTACCTATGGAGAGCAGAAGAGGGCATTGGATCCCTTGGAACTGGAGTTGTGAGCAGCCATCTGAGTTATGCTGAGAATTGAACTCTGGTCTTCTGAAAGAACAAGTGCTCTTAACCACTGATTTGCCTCTTACTGTTAAATACAGAGCTAGCCTATAACTCCACCTCCAGGTGCTCTAACATCTTCTTCTGTCTTCCTTGGACACCCACTCACACCTAACATATGCAAACATGCAGACACCCACTCATAAATAAATAGATAAATAAAATTTTAATTAAAAAACTAAAATCCAGATGTTGAGGAGACAAGGGGTTAGTTTTTAGTCCACATTAACTGTTAGCAGAAGGTCCCATAAGAGGAATCAGGGTACAGACATGGTTTAAAGCAGGGATCCAGACTTCCTTTGCTGGATACAATTGTGTGATTTGTGGAAAACGCGTGCTCCTATGAAAACAGATTAAAAAGGAAATCAGATTTCAAAAATTAATCTTTATGATGTCTTCGGAGAGCTGCCTGAATAACTAGGATCTGAGTGGGCAGAGCATGAAAACGAGAGGAACCCGAGTGGTGAGCCAAAAGTCTTTATCTGATTTCTGCCTGCAGGCATCTGGCTGATAATAGGAAGGCTGCTGAACTCCCAGTCCAAGGAGATGCAGCCTGCTGAGCAACTGGATAAGAGAGCCAGATAAGGGACAAGAGTGAACTGTGGAAGGCAAGAAAGGAGATGGAAGGTGGAGCCTGGGCATGTGATTTGAGGCCCCTTCTCCTGAAGGCTTTCATCAGACTCAATACTGCATTACATAAGGGAGCAAGGCTGTGGGGGAAAAACCCCTAATGTGTGCCAGGTTCTCAGGGCTAAAAAAGAAAACCTTGGGTTTCAAGACCTAACCAAGAAGAGGAACCCTTCAATAAGCACACGTCTTCTGTTTATTATTGTGTTTTATGTGTGGGGGTGTTTTGCCTGCATGTGCATCTGTGTACCATATGCACGCCTAGTGCTCTCAGAGGCCAGAAGGCAAAGGATGAATCGAACTGGACTTACAGATGGCTGTGAGCTACCACATGTGTATTGGAATTGAACCTTCTCCTCTGGCAGAGAAGCAGTGCTTTTAACTACTGAGCCATCTCTCCAGCACCATAAAAACACTTCCTTTGTTGTTGTTTTGCTTTTTGAGACAGGGTTCCTCTGTGCAACAGCCCTAGCTGTCCTGGAACTCACTACGTAGACCAGGCTGGCCTCGGACTCAAAGAGATGCCTGCCCCTGCCTCTGCCTCCCAAGTGCTAAGATTAAAAGTGTGCAAATCACCCCTCCCCCAGACCTATATAGAAACTCACTTCTTTATGGGTTGAGACAGCTCAGGTTCACATAATGGTACCCAGGAGACCTTAAGAGGCACATAGCTGGGGGCGGGAGGGGTCACTCAGCAGTTAGGAGCTCCTGCTGGTTTTCTAGGAGGAGCTGAAGTTCATTTCCCAACACACACATCAGTCACTTCACAGCCTCCTGTAACTACACACACACACACACACACACACACACACACACACACACACACACACACACACACTCAAGGGGCTGGAGAGATGGCTCACAGTAAAGAGCACTAACTGCTCTCACAGAGGACCCAGGTTTGGTTCCCAACTATCTGTAACTCCAGTTCCAGGGAATCCAGCATATTGTGCTCATACATACACGCAGACATTACATGTGCACATAAAATAAATAAGTACTAAATATAAAATTTAGGGAGGTGGAGAGATAGCTCAGCCGTGAAGAGCTCTGGCTGCCCTTCCAGAGGACCCAGGTTCAGTTCCCAGCACTCACGTGGCAGTAACTCCATTTCCAAAGGATCTGACTATAGCATGAAAAATAAAGGACCCAGAGACAGATATTGAGATTCAAGCTGCAAGCTGAAGATCAGAAAAGCAAAGCAGGCTTTTAGTCCCAGCACTCGGGAGGCAGAGGCAGAGGATCTCTGTGAGTTCCAGGACAGCCTCCAAAGCCACAAGAGAAACCCTGTCTTGAAAAACCAAAAAAAGTAAAAAATAAATACAATAAAATAGAAAGGAAGCCCAACTTTGAAACTGCAAATTTGTTTGACATTAAGATCACCTTTATCAGGCTGGACATGGTAGTTATGTACCTTTAATCTCAGCACTGGCAGGCAGAGGCAGGCAGATATCTGTGAGTTCGAGCCCAGCCTAATCTACAAAGTGAGTTCCAGGACAGCCAGGACTGTTAGACAGAGAAACCCTGTCTCAAAAACAAACAAAAAGGGCTGGAGAGATGGCTCAGAGGTTAAGAGCACTGACTGCTCTTCCAGGGGTCCTGAGTTCAATTCCCAGCAACAACATGGTGGCTCACAAACATCCGTTCTGAGATCTGGTGCCCTCCTCTGGGTTGCAGATATACATGGAAGCAGAATGTTGTATATATAATAAATAAATAAGATTAAAAAAAAAAAACTAAAAGAACTCAGAGAGAGAGAGAGCGAGAATGAAAAATAAAAACAAACAAAAAGATCACTTGTGTCCAGTCTTGATAAAGAGACAAGTACATTTATTACTGAGATGAGTTACTGGAACATCACAGCAAACCCTGTACTATCTCAGCATGTGTGACATCAACTGATTTCCCAGCTAAGGGCTCAGTGAAATGTGATGAAGAACACACAGTGCTAGATTTGTTGCACAGCCACACAGAAAAACAAATTCATGGTCACAGGGTTAAAACGGAAAAAAGAGAAAGGAGAAAAAATGGATAAACAATCAGAGAGATGGCTCAGTGTTTAAAAGCACTTGCTGCTCTTGCAAAGGACCAGAGTTCCGTTCCCAGCATCCACAATTGGCAGCCACAACCTCCTGCAACTCCAGCTTCAGGGATCTAAAACCCTCTTCTGTCTGTGGGCAACCACACACAGATAAACATAAAATAAATATTTTCAAACTTTTTGTTTGAAAGAGGGTCCCTATGTAGTCAAGGCTGGCCTGGAATTTCTTGATCCTGCTGTCTTAATCTTCCCTGTGTTGGGATTATATGCATGCACCACCATGTCAGACCTTTCTTTCCTTTTGTTTGTTTGAGACAGGTTTCTCTGTGTAGCCCTGACTATTCTGGAACTCATGCTGTAGACCTGGCTGGCCTCGAACTCGGAGATCTGCCTTCTGAATGCTGGGATTAAAGTGTGTGCCACCACTGCTCGGCTCCTAATTATTTTTTTAAATAATTTTTTTTTGTTTTTTTTGGAGACAGGGTTTCTCTGTGTAGCTTTGGAGCCTATCCTGGCACTCGCTCTGGAGACCAGGCTGGCCTCGAACTCACAGAGATCCACCTGCCTCTGCCTCCCGAGTGCTGGGATTAAAGGCGTGTGCCACCAACGCCTGGCTAAATAATTTACTTAACTTTATTTTATGTGCATTGGGGTGATGGTATCAGTTCCTCTGGAACTAGAGTTACAGACAGTTGTGAGCTGCCATGTGGTTGCTGGTGCTGGGGATTGAACCTGGGTCCTCTGGAAGAACAGTCAGTGCTCTTAACTGCTGAGCCATCTCTCCAGCCCTCAGCTCTTAATTGTAGCCATGTAGATACTTAGGTTTACTAGAGTTATTGTTGAAAAGATTACCATTTGCCTCATGGAATGGCCTTGACATCTTTATTGAGAATCGGTTGTCCATATGAGTTATTGCACCTGCTGCTCAGACCCAAATTCGTGGACTCATCTTGTCTTTTTCTCACTTGCTACATATCTAGTCCATCACCACATCTGACTTTGATGTCAACATATTTTGTTCCTATTGGCACACCACTCTAAAACCATTGGCTGCATCACCATTTTGCCTGTATATCTGGCAGTGGACAGGCTGGAGCAGGAGAGTGTTTGCATAGGGTCTGTCCTAGTTAGGGTTTCTATTTCTTCAATCAAACACCATGACCAAAGCAGATTGGGAAGGAAAGGGTTTATTTTGACTTACAATTACAGATTGCCGTCTATCACTGAAGGAAGGCAGAACAGGAACTCAAACAGAGCAAGAACCTGGAGGCAGGAGCTGACACAGAGGCCATGGAAGGGTGCTGCTTACTGACTTGCCCATTATAGCTTGCTCATCCCGCTTTCTTATAGAACCCAGGACCACCAGCCACAATGGGCTAGGCCCTCTCCATCAATCACTAGTTAATAAAATGCCCTACATGTTTGCCTAAAGTCTGATAATTTGGAGGCATTTCTCAGTTGAGGTTCCCTCCTCTCAGATGACCCAAGCTTGTGTCAAGTTAACATAAACCTGGCCAGGTCAGGGTCTGATGTGGTTGCAGTTGGGTGATGTCCTTGGCTGAAGTCATCCTCAGAGCCTTCTGTATTCATAGGTCTGCAGGAATTAGCTTCTCAGGCATCCTTCTCCCTCCGTCTCTCTGTAAAGCTTTCTTGATTTGTTCTCCCTTTATGGAACCTCAGAGTATCCAAACTTCTTACATGAAGTTTGGATACTTCTTACATGAAGATTGTGACAGCAACTTGGTAATGCACTCAAGTCCATTTTCAACAGCTGCAGACATTTTTTTCCTGCTGCCATCAGCAAGGTCACAGCTGTTTGCATCAGGAGTTGGTTAAGAACCTTCGTGCATCCTTGCTCAGTCCCTCACTGATGTTGTTAAAGTGGTTATTATGGGATTCCCAACCAAAGTGAACTTGCAAATTTGTCTTTATTTAATAACTGCAGTGGACTGAATGGTGACGCCTTCTAAAAGATACATCCATGTCCCAATGCCTGGAACTTGTATTACCTTTAATGACAAAGGTGTGAATGTCCATTAATATGATAGTGTGTGGCTGAGTGGGATGGAGGGGTATGAATCAGCAATTGCGAGCACATGCTGCTCTTACAGACAACCCAGGTTCTGTTGCCAGTACCTACTGCAGACAGCTCACAACTCGTGCAACTCTAGCACCAGTGATATGCAACAGCTCTGGCCTTGTGGGCACCTACAATCAAGTTCACATACACACGTAAACATAATAAAAAAAATTTAATGTGTGACTGGGTTATTGATCTCAGATGAGGAACTTATCTTAATTTACCCACATGAGCTCTGAATACAATTGTGAGTATCCTTACAAGAAAGATATCCCAGCATGATGACCCACCTGTTAATCCCAGCACTCAGAGGCAGAGGCAGGTGGATCTCTGTGAGTTCAAGGCCAGCCTGGTCTACATAGTGAGTCTAGGTCAAGTAGGCCTACAGAGTGAGACCCTCACTCAAAACCAAAACAAAACAGAGAAGAATGTACCCTAGATAATAGTGTGATTGATGCCAGGAACAGAGAGTGGCATAAGCCTTCAAGTCCAGGGATACCAGGGCAGCCACCTGGCAGAGAGAGACAAGGAGTGGGTTCTTTCCTGGTGCCTCTGGAGAGAACAGGGCCCTGCCAGTTTTAGACAAGCAATACTGGGAGAGAATGTATTTTTCCCACATACTCCGTTTCATCTATACTCATTTGTTAATGTGCCTCAGGAAGCAAGCACAATAACCATCTTTCACTTGCTGTGTGGTGAATATCAGGGCCTCAGAAAACCTTT